GTGGTATGGTGATGGGGTGGTAGAGGGAGGGATTTATATAATGAAAGCTGGATGGTCTCGTGAAAAATCCAAAGGATTCCAAGACTGAGGTTAGGATGATCGTATAGAGAACCGTGGCCTCCCTTTTCCATTACAGCCCCTTGCCGAGCAGCAGCCGTATTGCAGGCAAGTGAGTGACCGGAGTGCCCTTTTATCTTCAAGGTCTTGACGCGCGGCGACCCTGTGGAGGAAACGCGTAACTCCGGCGCTCGAGTCCCGCTTCTTAATTCGCTCGGCGTCGCCCCGTTCGTACTTCCGCATCGCCGTGCTCTCAAGTTTCGACCTCGCCTTAACTCTTAATCACCGGTTTTTGTATTTTCGTTAGACTCGCTTCGCATCATGCGCAAGGGCTATCGTCAGGGCGTTCGCAACAAGATGCGACAGTTGAAGGTGAGGGTCGATCGTCCCGTATCCGCTTACACTAACCATTTAACCATCCTGGCTTTGCCCCCCCCCCCGACCATGCCCACGCCAACGCCAATGCCCCAGAGCGCTTTGTATTTACCGGGCGATCCTTGGGAACCTTGCATTTGGAATCGTTCGATGTGTCGACGATATCCTCGTTCGACGCACAATGCAAGCATTGACACACAGAATCTAACCTCACTTTTCGCGCATTCCATACTTTACCGCTAATTTGAAAGTCGCATTATGCTTTTCTTTTTTTCCCTCGTATTATATCCTTTATTGAGTTGGACATTACGCATTTCCATTGTCCAATAATTATTTCTCTATCGATTCATAGGGGAGAATGTAGTTCGATTCTATTTACAATGCTATGCGTACAATACTTGCAATGCTTCAAGATAAAAAGACTATTGTAATCTAAAGGGACTATGAAACAAAGTATAATTTTTATTATACTTATTTGGGGCGACAAAAAAAATTTACAATTTCCTTATTTTGTCTATAATTAGTATTTATGAGCTGCGATATTACAAAGTACAATTCGCGATTGTTTAATGCTACTCTTATGTCTTATGATAATTGAGCTCTCTGTTTGGTGATTTTACATTAATTATTAATTTATTGTATAAATATATACTATCCAAAGTAAACGACATTGATTTTTATATGGGAGAAAGTCATATAGATTTTAAAGAAGAATAGTTTTATAAGGACACTTTGAGAAATATAATGAAAATTATAATTAGCACGAAAGGATTATAAATACAAAATATTAATTTACTTGCAATAAATGTATATTAATTTCTTTTTGTCTTTTATATTATCAAGGCTTTTAAATACTTCAATAATTTAATAATGAGTAAACAAATCTTATCAATATATTTTCTTTATCTGTGCATAATTATTAGATACATCAATTTTCATTTCGAACAACCATTAGATATGTATTATGGGTAAAATGTTTAATAGTACGATAATTTTATTAGTAATTGAATTTGAATTCGAACGATATTATGGCTCGAAATCATTGAATTTATAGAAAAAATTCTTTAGCCTATATCAAGTAAAAGATACACGATGAGAAAAATTTTCACTTGACAATAATCACCGCACCCGATTGTAACATAACTGATAAACAATTCTATGTAGTCAGCGAATGAAGTATTAATCGTATTAACTAGTTTAATCGAAAAATTTAATTGATAAATTAATCTTTCATAAAAATTTTAAATCGATAAAAATTTATTTCTATATCAATACATTATTTTTATAAATTAACATTCAAGTGTACTTGATTGATAAATTTACTTTTTCATATTTACGCATAAAAATACAATTTTTGAATTATTACGCACGCACGCACAGAGATTTTTATTAATATTTTGTAAACAAATTTATGTAAAATAAATAAATAAATAATTAAAAATAATATTTCTCGATCAATTGCATTTGCATATATTTCATGAATTACGTCAATTTCTAGTTCATTACAAAGGAACATTAACAACCATACGAGACAATAATAAGAAAGTGGATAGCTGACATAAATAAATATTATAGTACTACTACTATATTGACTGTTGAGAATAGTTGAGAAAAGAAGAATGTAACTGAATAAAAGTTTATCTGATGATTGAAGCGATTGTTGGACGGAAAACAAGTCGCGTAAATGAACACACGAAGTAGAAGGGAATGTACGATAAGCCTTGTGACGTCTTCAATCTTTAAATTTGAACAACAGTTGCACTTTCTATTCAAGTTCTCCAAATTAAAAAAAAAAAAAAAAAAAAAAAAAAAAAAAAAAAAAAAAAAAAAGCTCTGTGTAAGAAACTATACGAGGAGAAATATGAAATGAAAAGTAAGATAAGACGACATGAGATTATTGCATACTTAAAAAATTTTTTCATTTCAAGGATTATTTCTCACTTTTAATTGAAAATATTTTTCTACTTATAAATACACTTTTTAATAATTACAATTTATTTATAGCTTTTAATAACTCGTATATTTAAAATTTTAAGATTTTTCAGTTTCGCTGTATCTTAAAATAAACGATATTGCGTCACTTAATGATTATAGAGTATTTTTGTAAATTATAAATAATTGATTAAGCCAAAGAAACGAATACTTATATAAATTTAACCTTATTTTTTTCTCTTCGTTTTGTGAGTTCGTTTAATTTTCAATCGCTTCATTAATAGATGAGAAAAATCAACCTTATTAACCTTCGATGATTTTATACTGAAACAATAGAAGATTTTAACTGCTAATAAAAGAGTTTCTGATAAATACTACTGTATAGTTTTATCAGTTATTAAAAGTTCTTGAAACTGTGTATGTACTAAATTCGAAAGAATATTTGCTTTTTGATAAATTAAATGCGAATACAACTTAACATTTACAACATATTTATATTAAGGTTTGAAGAAATTATATAAGCCTGAACTTTCAATATTTGTACACACGCATGTCGATTTCTTATTCTTTTTTTTTTTAAACTTATGATTAGGTAATGTAAATATTTGTATTATTTAAATCATATTATTATTCTTATATTTTGTTAATAATTTTTTATCAACAACAGTTAATTATTAATAACAGTAAATAAATAATATACACTCACTAACTAACGTTTGAGATATTCAATTTATATGTTATCCCTATTTTATTTTATTCAATTGCTATATCGTTGATAATTGCAATAAAGAAAAGAAAAAGTATATTAAAGTATGAGTATGTGTTAAAAATTATCTCATGACTGTTCTTCTATTCATTTTCTGAACAGTTTTATAACAAGTCTAAAAGTTGTATGCGAAGCTAGAAATAGTTCGTCGGTCTTTCAGAATTTGCACCAAGAGAGTAAAGTGCAATTACGTGCTTCCTTGTTTACGCGGATTGAATCTTTTCCCATTCCAGGCATTTCTATATTCTTAGGGTTTGTAATCTTTTGACAATTGAAACGTCAATGTGTAGCTTTTTCTTGTATGTGCAGCGCAGTGAATTTATTATCAAAATTTTAATTACTACATTGTTAAAAGTATTTATTGGGCTATACATTATGAAGTAATGAATAGCAATCATTATTTATATAAATTTTTAGCTATTTTAATAATTAACTATTATTATGATATCTGCATAAAAAGTAATTGTATATAAAATCTACATAAAATGAATAACACCCAATATCTAATTATAGCTTTTCTTTTGTAAAATAAGTTTCTCATTTAAGTATTTTAATTTATTAATATTGTGAAAGAAATTAAAAACAAGCAGACATTTTTAATAAATCCAAGTATAATATACGTAAAATATTTGAAAAAATGAAACATTATATATTTAGTTATCATTATTTTTTTTTTTTTTTTTTTTTTTTAAATCAATAGTCATTATTGAATTTTATTAGATTTTTTTTTAAACATTATACTCTATTTTAGAATTTTGAAATTATTTAAAAATGAAAAGAAAATTCCTTTGCATTAGCGTATGCTATGCGATAAATATAAATTCAACAAAATTTTTTCTTAACACATTATTGAAGTATTTCTAGATACAATGACTTTACGTAAGAATATGTTTATCTAATTATAACAATAAACTTTATATAAGAATGCAATTTAGTATTTCTTTGTCCTTTTCCAGCATACACACTTTTATATAGATAAAAAAATAAGCCAGTATATCATTTTCTGCACAATACGATCGTTTAACATTGCTCCGTAAACTTAACATCCGTAAAGTATTTATTTATTTATTTATTGTTCCCTTTGAAAGTTTTAAATACATAATGAATGCGTTATACCAATTGAAAGATCGTTATTATGAAATTATTAATTATTTACTTGCTTAATATTCGAATGTTATGTAAACATTTTTTAAATTAACTTCTAAAATTACTAATCATTTCTGACAATAAATTTTGTTTTTTTTTTTTTTTTTTTTTTTTATGCAACTCTAAGATTACGGAGGTTTATAATTAAAACGTCGGATCGAAATAATTAGAAAATTCATCGATAAAATTATCGATTGATTTTCATATAAATCATTTACATTTTGTAAAAGAAAAGATTTATGCAGTTGCTCTTAAACAGTTGTTCTCAAAGTAATGGATTTCGAATGTAGTTTTCATTTTAAAAGCGAACAGATACAATTAAATCTATAGGAACAAATTGAATCTTAACGAAATTTGCTCTATTAATGAAATCTATTAATTGGAGAAAAAAAGGAGAAAAAAAGCAAACAAACAACAACAAAAAAAAAAAACATTTTTCTATAGTAGAATGAAAGGTCAGTAGCAAGTTCACAACGTTTCATTCCGCGTGTGTACACGCAAAACATTTCCGAGTCAATTGAAACTTTCCTCATTGTGAGTATTAATGCCTCATTATTATATAATGGATCGAACAAAATAATGCCTAGGTAAATGGATATGAGTTTTTTTTTTTTTTGTCATTCTTTTATTATTTCACGTGGCTAAATATGTTATTCGATGTTGGCCCGTTTATAAAAATGAAATTGGTGCAATGGGAGAAACTAAAAGTTTTAGATGTTCTCACATTTCTTGGACTTGAGTCTTCTAAGAAACTTGCAAATCTTTTTGTATGCTGTGTCCGCCTCCTTGTCGTTCAGATCTATCGTGCTTTGCATCTTAATTGTTTGAGAGTTATGTATCCTAGTGGTTACCGTCATCCCCTTGGGATAACGCCACTGCTGCCGCGGCTCTGACCAATCCAGCAAGCTTGCTGGGGCCATTTTTCTTCTCTCTCTCTCCCTCTCGCTCACTCACTTACTTTTACTTCCCTTCTCACCCAGGCACTCGCCTATCCCCTTTTCACTCACTCTCACTCAATTAATGCGTACTCTTACGTAGAATACTGATTAACGCGTTCGTCTATCACTAGCACTTTCCCCTTGCCTCCGTATAATAATATCACACGACGAATCCTTAAGTACTTACTCTTAAATAAACCTCCGGCACACATTTACAATGTACATAAAGGCATACATATTTTAGTGCCAGCCTTGTCGTGTATTTACTTAATTAGATTAGGTTATTCAGTCTTGTCCAGCTCTCGGTGTCTACGTAAGTATAGTTGCGCGGCCTCGGGATACACGGCTAAGTCTGGAGGTCGGCGGCCGCACGACTTCCCCGACGTCGGCCCCGAAACCCCATCGCAAACAACCTCTTACCCTTATTCCCGAACAAATCTAAATGTCCTTACTCTCCTCAAACTGGTTTCGCAGCTGTTCGGCGTACAACTGAAGAGCGAGGAGGATTCGAGCCGCGCGCAAGCGACGAATATCAGTGGAAGTGGTGGAGGTGGTGGAGCGTCGGTGGGGCAACGCCGAGAGCTTCTTTCTTTTTCCTCGTGAGTACCTTTCCCCCTTTTTCAGCGCGTCTCATCGCGCCTCTTGCCACGTGTTTTGTCTTCTTTCTTTCCTTTTAATTGTATCGTCAACATCTATTTTACATTGGCGTGAAAGGCTTTTTACTACGCGTATCAGCAATCTTTATCACAATTATAAAATGTGATTATAACTCGCGATTGATGTCACGTTTAAGGTCAATTTTTTAAGTTGATTTACAGCCTACAGATTTCCTGTGTATTATTTACTTGGCCATTTGAAATATAAGATGTTTGAGTTTTTACGATGTGTGCTATCTTGTCTCGAATATTTCGATTCAACAAAGTAGAGTTTTAACAATAATTACAATAATCTATTTTACATAATGTATCTTGAAATCGTACAAAGCTATGCATAAGTTAATTTTCTTCTATTTAAAAATCCTATTTTATTATATATATATATATATATATATATATATATATATATATATATATATATATATATATATAATAAGAATAATAATATAAGAATGTATTATTCAATCATCGAAGAAAATTTTAATAAAGCATTATTTAAATTAAAATATAGCTCATTTCAATTAACAAGTATATTTATTGATATAAATAAAATTTGTATTGGAATAAATTAGCGGAAATCTTAAATTTCAATTAATATGATAACCCTCACTGAATTTCGAAATATGAAAATTGCATTTCAATCTATTCAATCTATAGGTTTTAATAATAAAACTTTAATGCACTTTTTCTAGAAAATTTATAATTCAACCAACCTAAAAGTAATAATTAATTTTGTTTGTATTACACAGGATTCGTTATTATTTTAGTAAAAATAAAAATAAATTCGTCGACGAAAAAGTATTGATTTCCCGATCATTTTAACTTTAATTTTAAGTATTAATAATTTATAAAATAAGTTATTGAATACCTTCTGAAAGCGTCCCTTTTAACTATAAATAAGACTTTAATACACCACGTATGGCCAATATGAGTTTAAAATTCTTTTAAATATGAAGTAAAATATTAATTATAAGATCGTTTGAAAAGTTATATATATTTATAGAAATATAATTAATATCTCATTGATATTTCAATTGCGCGTCAATTATTTTAGAACAAAAATGAAATACATTACTACTTTTTCCTTTCATTTACTATACACTAATATCGAAATACAAAATATTATCTTTTAATTTCACATTGACATAAGCATAAATTATAATAACTAAAATGTTATCAATCTAATTAAAAGAATGAAATTACAGTAAATATAGTTTTTAAAAGAGTTCGATTTAAAAAATATATATCATAAAAATATCAGTGATAGAAAAATATATTTATCATTTAATTGGCACATTATTTTTCAATTCCCGTGTAATGAAGATAATCTATAAATCTGTTTAAATATTTTTTATATATTTAAAATAGATAAAAATTTTAATAAAATGCTTTCAATTTCATTTGCTCTTTTATTGGTCAGATAAGGTCAGATTGTATTTGCTAGAGATGGCAAAAAGGAAAAAAAAAAAAAAAAAATCAACATACATTGGAAAAGGATATCTTTACCATTAAAAATATTTATTGTTCTCTATTATTGAAATTACTCGGAAGAAATTTCTATTTTCAATTGCACGCAATTAGGCTTGACATTTTTCATGAATCATTCATCATCCTAGATAGCTTATAATATATATTATTATTTATTCAAAATTAAAAGACTATTAATTTTATTTTTCATTTATATCAATAAATTGTTTTTGTTAATCATTGGCAGAACATAAAATTATGAAAATACGAGAGTTGGGGATATAATTCGTAGGAATAGAATTCGATTTAGATGAGATAATGTAATAAACAAATTAGTAATAACTAAATTCTTGCAACTATTATTGTAGTATTGGTCTCGTAAACTAAGAAATTCAGCGAAAAAACCTCTGGCATCTCTTTTCATCTTCTTTTGAGAATAGAATAGAAACCTTCACCCAAATTTTAACTAAAATATATGATCTAGACTTTTCGTTTTGTCATTGAATTACATAATATGTTGTTTAAAATACGAAAAAATATTATGAATGTAAGGTATTTTAATCGGCTGATCTATTAAGCGGTGCCGACTCAAACTCAAATTGATAACAGCTTTACATAATTTTAAATCTGAGATTGAATATTTAATAATCGAGTACTGTACGTGCAAAATGGAATTGCAGGGACGAACTTCAACGTCCGTGATGATTTTTTTCCCACAGTACAATGCACGCGAGTAAAATTATTTTATAAACGTTCCTCCTTAGATGCCACTGGCCAAGTCAATCGAGTGGGACGGCGATCGGATACTCTGGAAAAATGAGGGAAAGTCAAGCGATGAGGTCGGAGTGCGCGGGTCTTTATTATATCCGAACGTTCGCTTAGATAATACAGCTGCGTACTAGCTAATTTTAGCTCTCACATGCCAACTCGAGGAGATAGCGCGACGTAGTCACCACTGAGCGGGAATTACTCCACATCGTAACAACATTACCAATCGGCTGTGGCACCGCATGTTGAGAACTAGTAATTTTCTTTTTTCTCGGCAATTGCGCCTCGTTTAGTTACTGTACGACTCGTTTTTTCCACGTCGTTGCGACCATCACTTGCCGCTTTGTCAACATTATGAACTTAACCACAAGTTAAATCATTTATTGCATTATCGCGGTGCTTCCTCAACTTTGATGTAAAAAATGTTTCACAAATAATGCTTGAAATATTGAGCAATATCGTGTGCATTGTTACCGACTCTTTTTTCTGTTAATATCCGAATTGTGCACAATTTCTTTTTCGATTATCGCGACTATTTTATACATCTCTATGGTGATATGGACATTACTTTTTTTTTTTTTTTTTTTTTTTTTTTATAAATTTATTACATTATTATACATTGCAATCCATTACAGTCACGTTATCTTATATGAATTATTTATTTATTTATTTATTTATTATTTATTTTTTTATACATTTTGCAAATTAATTTTTTATATCACTTATAAGCGATGAGATTAATTTAAAATCCGGAATTTTATGCAATTTTTCTTTTATACATTACGCAAGTACATACTGTCAGTTATTCTTTTATATTCTGTAATTATAACTTAATGCAATATTGAATAGCAAATGAAAATAAACAACGAAAAGAAAAATATTTTGACTTTTGATGATATAAAGTAATGAAATTTCAATGTTTATTTACACTAAACTTAATAATATTTATTTTTTCAGTAAGTAAAGTGGTAATGAGTATCTATTGTTTTAAAAATATACATATTGATGATGAATGAAATGAATTTATGTTCGAATATATTGAAATGTCAAGCATCATTTTATTATTTATTATAGATTGATTAAAAGAAAATAAAGTTCTTAAGCAATTTTGCGCCAAAAAGAAAAAAAAAAAAACTATACTATGTAAATTTATAGAGGAGGTGAATTGAAAATTTGCTTACGAGTTGGAAAACAAAAAGCCGTAGAAATCTGATCTATCAATCTGATCATCAAGGAAAACATTAAGTATATCTAATTTTCATTATTGGATTTGCGAATATAAACAGACGCAATGCAAAATTATGCAATTAGTCTTCTTAGAGAAATGGCTTCCAAGAATTGAGAGCCGCATTGCTGAAAGAATAAACTAATTGTGGCTGACCTGGTCTGGCTATTATCATTTATTTCTTATGTTTTTATACATATATATATATTGGTTTTAGATATATAGAATTAGAGAAATAGCTGAAATACAGCTTGCATATTTAAAGCAAAGTGTTGTTAAGGAAAATTATTCAACTACTTTCAATATGAAAATCAATTCCGCCTTTACGGTTTATACAATATGTTATTATCAAGAATAAAAAAAAAAAAAAAAAAAAAAAAAAAAAAAAAAAATTTTAAAAGTATATTATAAATCTTAAGAGAGTACGTTATACGATTTTCACAGAACATCGGATGTATCATCTTTTAGAAAACCAAGAATGTAATAGAGAAAGAGAGACGCTCTCACGTTTATCGAGCGGACGTTGCTGCTACTCTATTTCACGTGGACGCTTCTTTTTATCTTACATGGCTTATCAACACAAATCCAATCGCCATGGGTATAATACCAACTTTTCATCAATTTGAAATATATTACATCAACCTTCGTAAATTTCATAAATATTTATAATTTACTTAGAACGGATAGTTGCAACGATAGGCAGATACTGATATGCACTTATCTATTTAAGCATAGACGAACATAATAAAATGTCTCAAAGGAATTGAAAATTCCTTTTAATTTAATTGAAAAAGGTGTTTTATTACATTAAAACATCCAAGACTTTGAAAGTACATTATTTCACGTCATCCAAATTGTAAAAGAAATAAAGAAAAAAAAAAAAATAAT